ATTTATACTGTGTTTGCAGGAGTTACAGGACTTGCAACGGGATCCCCCTTCGCAGTGCTCAGCTGGACCACTTGGAGAAGACCGTAAGTGTGTCTGCTAACTATGTACTCATTACTGGCCTTTAGTACTTTGACAGGACGGTCTACTCAATATATTCTATATGTACTTTCAGTGTTTCACTGGCAGGCTACAATAATGGGCCCAGTAAGTACACATGAGTAATTCCAGGTTAATGTTTATTTTATGAAATTAGTTATTGGCTCAGTAAAACAAAGGAATTGGCTTCTGTCATACACAAACGCTTTCTTTTTTATCTCCCCCTAGAGTGACAGTCCATATCAGGGAGGGGTTTTCTTCCTCACAATCCATTTCCCGACTGATTATCCTTTTAAACCACCAAAGGTGAGTGGAGAATAGCATCTGTTCTTTCCCCTTCCATAAATGATTTGTTCTTTGATAATTGATACTATGTTGCTGACAGGTTGCCTTCACAACAAAAATCTATCACCCAAATATCAACAGTAATGGAAGCATCTGTTTGGACATTCTGCGCTCCCAGTGGTCACCTGCCCTCACGGTATCCAAAGGTTAGAGAGCACAAATATGGTCTTTTCATCATAAACATGTCCAATTAGGTTACATCTAGATTCTAATAAAGGGAATAATCCAGCATATGGATATGGAATAGACACGCAAGGAGTATACAAACGAAAGAGGACCTGAAAGAGGTGGAGCTCAGAATTATGGCTTTAAGTGACTTTAAGTAAATGTGAGAAATATTCACTTTACTTTTATTAGCACCACTAAAATGATTCAGCTGTTTTCTGTTGCTGTTTTTCAGTTTTATTATCCATATGCTCCCTCCTTTGTGACCCGAATCCAGATGACCCTTTAGTTCCAGATATTGCACACATCTACAAATCGGACAAAGATAAGTAAGTGAGTTTTGTTAAGTGAGAGTTTATTTGTAAAATGACTACATCTGTAAGCATGGGTGACATTTAACTCTTGGGGTGGGGAGGGTAGAAGGTGATATAAGTATGAAAACAATGTCCTATCTTATTACACGGCATCAAAGCAGTCAATAATAACAGCACAGCAGTGTTGCCGGGTTGGGCGGGTTCCCGCCCAATTGGGCTTCTTTTGGTAACGTCAGACCGGAAAAAAATGTGTTGGGCGGGTTGATAAAATTTGGGCTGGTTTTTGATACAACGGGCGGCTGTTTCAGTTTCTGCACTTGTAATGTGGGAAATTCCGTAAATATGACAGAATGTATCATTTGCACGTGCTTTTAGGTCTTACAATTTTAAACTGTGAGACCCCTTTCTGTGACCTCACACCCAAAGCGCGCGCACATAGAGCCGCATCTGAGAGCGCGCGACTACAGAATTAAGTTGTGTTGTGCCTTATTGCGCGTAAACAGCCAAATACATACAAAATTGTCAAAAAATGCCTGTCTTGTGTTTTCACATAAACAGTCGATTAATACTAAATATTGTGTTATATAGGCTATTAAGTGAATGTAAACAGTTGAGAAAATAAACTTATGTGTAACAGATCCGTGCATGAAGAAACAGCAAGCTAAATAAACCTTCCGCTGTCTGTCACTAATGTTTATTTATACATTGAAGACTAACCGGTGTTATTTTAAAGTTAACTAGATTATTCAGTTTCTGTGGTATTTCTGTACCTGAATATTACTGTTATAGCTACCTGAAAAACTTAAAGCACAGTTCATTTTATTTGTATCTTGTTATTGTATTTGTTTGTGCCATTGCTCGTAATTTATCTATTCTTATTTTATTACTGACTTTTACTTTTTTTAGTTAAAATTAATTCAGTTTGAAATCAAAGTTCTTTTTAAGTATCTTCCTCACAAAATAAATATGAATCAACAACATTATAAATTGAAAAACACAAATACACTGGGTGACAAAACATTTATGTTGGAAGATTGTAGTTTAAAAATATGTCTAAAAAAATCCCCTACCCCCCCCCCCAAATTCCCCCCCCCCCATAATTTGATATATATATATATATATATATATATACACATTTTTTTGTTTTGTTACTACACATTTTGGGCTGGTATTTTTTTTAATGGGCGAGTTTTATGCTGTAGTTGGGCTGGAGATCTTCTTTTTTACAGTGTCTTCAGTTCAGTTCTGCACGCTTGTGAATCATCTCAAAACAAATTGCAGACGCTGTAAAATTAAGAGATTCATTGTGCAGTTTAGAAGGCTTCATGAGATCGTGATGAACTAAGATGAGTGACGGCTTTCAATAATTATAAAGGGAGTGCTCTTTGCACGCTTTCTAGGCTATAATCCTTTGAGGATTTGTATGAATCTTTTGTTTTCGGCCACATACACGCTGCAAAGTTTCGGGAATGACATCCACATATGATGCACTCTTGAAATAGCAAAAACTTTGGCGTTTTCAGCGGTGAGTGAATTCTGACCAGCTGAAACACCTCTGATTGGCCGTTGCGTTTAAGAAATCAACAGAAATGTCTGTGATTGGCTACACTGCTCAACGCTGCAAAAACACATCGTAAATAGAAATTTAGATGTTTTCCAGAGTGCAAACACAAATACACACTGAATTGCCAGACCTGAGGGTGCTTTTGCTTTTGTTTCATTCTGTTTTCACCCTCTAAAACCCCCGTAGGCCTGGGCTTGGTTAACTGCTCCAAATTGCAGGGGGGCTTACATGGGAGATTCCATGACTATATTAAATTGGTACTAATATGGGGGCATGTCGCCCCTGTCTGTATGAACCATCTTCTCCCATCTGGTTCAATCTAAGCTGCATTTCTTTTCTACATTTTCATCTTTTATTACTATCAAGCAATACAAAAAGTGTTTGAGTACCAAATGACTCTGAATGCTTCATCAAGAGCCATTTGTTTGAATGAAGATGTCTGTTCTTGTCTTTTAGGTATAACAGACTGGCAAGGGAATGGACTCAGAAGTATGCAATGTAACTGAATGGCAAGATTTTGAAATGGTTGCACATGGACACTATTACTGCACACGACTCTGCAATGCACCTGTACAGAGTCAAGACTTTTATCAACAGACGAACCTTCCCCAACACACACACACACACACACACACACACACAAATATACATATTTACACGCACAACTTTACAGAAAATCCTTGTTCAGGAGGCCGAGTCACTTGTCCCTGTTCACAGAGGCATCCTGGAGCAACCTGTCAGTTAATACATAACAAAAAATATTGTTTTGTTTTCCAATGGATTAGTTACATTTTAGTAATTTTATTGTATAGAAATAAATACAATACTGGATCATTTTTATTGTTTTTGCATTAAAAGGTGTTATTATAAAATATGTCTCACTGCAGCTGTTTTATGATGACTCTAGTATATTGTTTGACAATGAGATGTTTTCCGTATCTGTAATTTTGGAATTAGTTCACATCAGGGATGAAACTGTACACCAGGCGTGTCCAATCCTGCTCCTGGAGGGAAACTTCCAGGAAGGTGCAAGTTGAAGCTAAACTCTGCAGGACAGTGGCTGTCCTCCAGGACTGAGTTTGGACAATCTTGCTGTACACATTCTGCTCGCATCTTATGTTGCGTCGTAGCTTTGTGCCACTAGATGGCGATGTTATACGTTTTATCCCCACCAAATGGGTCTCACGCAATGACGCTTTATGCGGTTTGTTTTTTAAAGGTTTCGTGTCAAAATATGAATCCACCTAAGTAACGTCAGTCAAATTAAATCTTTAGTTAAAAATATATATGATGAGTTCATAGAAATGTAATCTGTTTGGCCATGTTCATACATTTGGGGGATAAAAAAAAAAAAATTCTACAAAAGGGTTGATTTGATGACTAAAAACGTCAATGTCCTTATGAAGTAAACACTTTATCTTGCAGAAAAATACAAAGACGTTTAAGTAAAATTTTAAGTGTATTAACTTTTCTTAGGGTTTGCTCCATTTAATCAGAATACAATTATATTTTATTTTATGAAAAAGATATAGGTTTTGTTTGTTTAATTTTCTGTTTTTCTCTTTTTATTGAAGTGTATGTATGTGTGCGTGTGTGTGTGTGTATATATATATATATATATATATATATATATATATATATATATATATATATATATATACACCAGTTCAACCATACTAACAAGCAAAAATGACTTTAGATAAACTAACAATTGTGCTTCATTGTTTTTTTATTGCTGAAGAGTGTTTCTTCTCCTGCGTTCTACTGTACAGACGTGAATTTACTTTTCCTTTAGCCTGAGGTTTATTCATTACACTTTTTGGTGTGAAAGGGCTTTTACATTTGCTATAGATATAACTTCTTATATTAAAAACAACCAACCCCTGCTCATATTGAAAAAGTAGCGCAAAAGTAATGTAACGCATTACTTTCCATAAAAAGTAACTAAGTAACGTAATTAGTTACTTTTTTAGGGAGTAACGCAATACTGTAATACATTACTTTTAAAAGTAACTTTCCCCAACACTGTATATATATATAAGGTTTTCTTTTTACGTGACAACAAAATGGAATTCCTGTTAGGTCACACTGCTAAAGTTTATTGGGGGGAAATAGTAATAAAACATGGCAAACTACTTGACTAGTGCCAACGTTTCTTTTTCAAGAATGTCATTCTTTTAATAATGCTTTTTTTTCTAGAGTTACACTACCTAGACATTTTAAGTCAAACAGGTTTTTAATAAATAAATACATATAAATAATATATTTTAATTCCGTAATTTAAAACATGTTCATCATAGAATCATAGAAAATGTGCATGAAAGTAATTTTGTAAGAACTGAATCAAATAACTTAAAAATATCGTCATTTGATAAGTTTTTTTTTTTTTTTGCGCGTGCAGGGGAAACTAGGCGCGCGAACTGGATTTGATGATGAGAAAGTTTTGGGAGGAGAGTGGGCGGTGATCCTGACACGTGAATGCTCCCACAGGAGCATAATCCATCCATGCATCCATGTCCTCCAACTATAGTGTGTTCTGGTCTTGGAGCCAGAGGAAAAGTGGAGGGGAGCGGAATCTAGGGGCAGATTGATTTTCTCGGGGGCAGTAACTGGCCAGAGGGGCTTTAAGGGACTTCAAAGGCAGGATTGGAAAAACTTGCCTGGAAATCGGAATGTTTTACTCCTAATGTTGATTTGCCGTTTGCCTCTTCCACATATAAACCCCGTTTAGTAAGTTTGTAACACTTTAATGTGCAATGGCTGAGCCGCTGAGTTTCATGCATCATGATCAGGGCTCCAGCAGCGAGCGGAGTGACGACTCACCGTCTGCCGTGTCTGAGGATGACTCTAGCGGCCACTGCGGCCACATCTCCCCGCCTGACCCAGGCTGGACCGAGGAAAGGTTTCGAGTTGACCGCAAGAAACTAGAAACTATGTTACTGGGTATGTTAACTTCTTAAACACTTTCATAAAGAACTGGGAAGACAATTGGATATCTTGAAAACACTTTTAGCTAACCTTGCAGTGTTGCTTGGCGTCGAGAAGCATAAACAGTTCTGTCTAAAAATAACACAATGTTTCCTCGAAGTCCATCTTGATGGAGATGTGTTGAGGACACTGATTTTTGTGTAGGACATGAAAACCAGCATTGGGATGATTTATTGATTCATTTAGTAGCCAAATACGATCGACATTCACATGAACTAGCAACTATTTTTTGGGTAACTTTGCACTTGAACTATTAATAAGCTTAGGTTTTTGCATGGACCCTGTAAATGGAATTTTTAATCTTCTTATGTTCATTTAGTACAAATACGTGGAGGTTAGACATTCACAACACAACACAACACAACATGGTTAAGAAATAAGTTCAGTCATTTATTATGGGAGTGTCATGAAAGTTTTACATGAATACTTGCCAAATTCCAATCATTTCAATGCGTTCAGCAGCATGACAATAAAATGTCAGATATAGGTTATAAATATGAGATCAGTATTACTCATCCATCAAGGGCATCACCGTCACAGTTACACAAATACTGGTTTCACTATACCGGTAAGAAGATCTCATAGACACTGGTTTTTATACAGAGGTGGTCAGTAGGGGTAGAATTGCTCTACCCCAAACTTAAAGGGATAGTTCACCCAAAAAATGAAAATTCTGGCATCATTTACTCACCCTCATGTGGTTCCAAAACAGTATGACTTTCTTTCTTCTGTGGAACACAAAATACATTTTGAAGAACCAGTCAGCTTTGGTTACCACTGACTTCCATTGAATGGACAAAACAAAACACTTGAGACATTTCTCAAAATATGTTCTTTTATGTTCCACATAAAAAGTCATACAGGTTTGGAATGACATGAGGCTGAATAAATGATGACTTTTAACTTTTGGTTGAACTATCCCTCATAAAAACCTGTGTATGTATGTAGTTTTGAAGCAATCATATTTCATCACGTTTTACTATATTTGAAAGAATATTTTCAAATATTTGGGCCACACGGTATCACCAAACCTGTGCATTCATACAAACACAGACTTTTGAAGTTATACTAGTGAGGAACTCTCATAGACAGTGTTTTTTTTTTATACTAGGATAATGATATTTACTATTCTAGCTGTAAACTGAACTTCACCCAAACCAGTTGACATTATTATATTTGAAGTAAAATATAATTTGGCTGATGTATGAGCATTCAAATCGTGAGGACCACTTCACAAGTCAGTTTTACATCATGTTTAACTAAATTTGTGTGGACATTTTCACAAATTCAGCTCTCACAAGTACAGCCAAACCTGTACACAAACACACACAAACATTTTTCAAGCAACATCATCTGGTTAAAGCTCATAATTCTACACTTGCATCCTATTTTATCATATTTTACAGTCACTCTGTCAGCAGTGGACAGTTTATTTCACTGCAGAATAATGTTCAGTTCGTTTTGTTTTTCTTTTGTTGTAACTTCAGCAGAGTAGAATTTTAAACAAGTTTAAGTATTACAAGTTGAGGTTAGTGGTTTGGTATTGGCGTATTCTAAACATGTACAAAACTTCTGGTCTTTTATAGCAGGCCCTCTAGTTGCATTTGTTCAAACCAACCAAACTCAAGATACTGTAGTTATGGATGTTGACTCCATAAATGGTGTATATACAGTGGGGCAAAAAAGTATTTAGTCAGCCACCAATTGTGCAAGTTCTCCCACTTAAACCTTGGTGAGTATTTTGCTGAATTAATAATGACAGTGTTTTCATTTTTGGATAAACTATAACTCACAAAAACCGTTTATGTCTGTAGCAACTTAAATTGTCCTCACAAGTCAAAATTTTCACCATATTTCTTTATATATTTTTGATATCAGAATCAGAGTGAGCTTTATTGCCAGGTATGTTTACACATACGAGGAATTTGTTTTCGTGACAGAAGCTTCCACAGTGCAACAGAATGACAGTGACAGAACAAAAAAACACAGATAATAAAAAATAAATAAAAAATAGAACAAGTAAATAAGGAATAAAAATATCTTTATCACTATATTTTTTATATCTACTACATTCTAGTATTTTGTTGCATTTTACATCTATATGTATTGTAAAAAGTGGAAAAAACTGAGACCCTCAGTCTCCTTCCACCACCTTTATGTCTTCATGTGTGCGATTGGAGTAAATACTTCCTTGATATTTGGACCCCCAGGTCAAAGGTCAGTTCAGCTTAAGAGCAGCAGAAAAACTTCCACAGCCTGGCTAACACATTTTCAAGACTGTCGACAACACCTTTCACATCACACACACTCATATGCTTACTCTACAATCATTGTTGTAGTGATGTGGGCATTTTTTCCCACACCTATGATTCAGTGACTCGTAACCATCTCTTTGCTCCGGATGACGTGCAACATCTGGAGGTGTTTTGAATGGCTGTTTTTTTGAATGGTAGGATGCAGCAGTAGGCGTGATCATAAATTCAGCGACGTGTGTTTTTTGTGTGAAGGTTTATTGTGTGGCACAATTTTTCCTCCCCTTTTCCAGGAAATGGGAGAGAGAGCGAGAGAAAAATTACTTTATTAAAATATTTTTATTTCTTAAAAATAAGAGGGGAGACCCACTCTTGTGCTTTTCCCCTTTGGCCAGTCTACGACTGTATCAGCTGATTTTTATAGACTTATTCGGGAAGACTAATGGAGAAAAGTGGATCACCTAGGATTCATGTTCATGTAAGGGAATCTGAGTGGCCTTAGGGTTTAATCGGAAAGCACCAAAGTTCTTTTATGTAGAAATAATCACTTAAGCAAGTGACGATTTGGAGGGAAAAGTATGCAAACAAACTTTAATAATGCATTGTCTATCTCTCTCTCTCACTAACTTTTATGGGAATAGTTTGTATATTAGGATTGAGTTTTTTTCTTTACCCCAATGGCTGTTACATCAGATGTCTGGTTTTGATTAAAAACCGAGGAATGTGTGCTGGCCTGACCTTATATTCTGTGTGATAAGGAATTCTAAAAATAATTAGTGTTTGTTTAGTTGAGTTTATTCCGGCACTTTATGGAAATCATATGTCCCCCCCCCCCCCCCCCCCCCGCCCCACCACTTTTGAAATGTTTTTGAGCCAAATGTGTGTTTTTGTAGGTTTTTCTTTGTCTCAGCAGGTTGTGAAACCACATATTAAATATCTAAATGTCAGTACATCTCACACCTGCTAGTTGAAGGAATAGTTCACTCAAAAAAAATTAAAATGTACTCACCCTCAGGCCATCCAAGATATAGAAGAGTGTATTTCTTCACAGATTTGGAGAAATTTTGCATCACTTGCTCACTGATGGATCCTCTGCAGTGAATGGGTGTCGTCAGACTTAAAGTCCAGTCAGCCGATTAAAAAAAACTGCGTATTTATAGGAAACAAGTCCATTACTAAGTCGTTTTTAACTTCAAACCTTTGATTCTGGCTAAAATACAAGCCCTCTTTACATAATTTTGCTTTCTGCAGTGAAAAAGTTGTCTTGTCTGAATCAGGAGAGAAATATGCACAAATCAAGCATATTTTATGTTCCAATTAAGGAAACAAACTCCTCTGCATCTTGGATGGCCTGCAAATTTTCAGTCTAATCCTGGTTTTTGTGTGTGAATGTGTGTGTAGGTCAAATTTTGTCACACACAAAAGTGTGCTGTGTATTTTATTAATTTGCTTGTGCGTGCAGCATGTTTTCTGACATGTGGGTTTTATTCATTGAGTCTAATTTAGTCTGGGTGCATGTTCACGGCATCATTCTTAACATGCTGCATGTGTCTGGATTGGTGAGCAAAGCAACAGGAAGTGCAATGTGTTTTGGGAATGTGCTCATGGCTCAGCGCACTGTTGTCAGGGAAACAGGTCTGTTGCCTTGGATTTAGATTTTTTTTATATGCATACATGTGCAGTTTGAATATTAAAGGCACACATGCATCATGATTTAGACATTGAAGCAATAAATCAATATAATTGATGTGTAATTATGAATTATTAATCACACGTTGTAGGCTAGGATTAGAATGAATTTTGAAGTGGTGTTGTCTTGGTAACAAGAGTTTTATGGATTGACAGATGCAACATAGCCAGTATGCTGATTTTTAATATTATTTTATAAATTTTTTGGCAGTTTCAACTGGCAGGCCATTTTTTGCTAGTGCTATAAATTCACTGCCAAAATTGGTGCAGTTTTCTTCCTAGAAGACTTCTGTTTGTATGTTTACAAATATAAATCCATTTCTTGGGTTTAATACATCAAGTTTTGCATTGTTTTAATAAAATACTTGAGTGATAAATCTTAAAGAACTGATGTATTGGATTACTAAAACGGTGTTGGGAGAGTTTTAGTTTGGCTGAAAACTCATCTGTGTTCATAACCTGTCAGACAGGGATAAAGTTCCTTATTGTCATGGAGAGATGAGATGTCCACATTATTTAATTCACATTATAGACAAATCCTTTTCACTCAATACCTTTGGAGAGGTCTTTAAGTGGTACACATTGTGTCTGAGAGGCATTCGGCCCTGCAGATGTTTGAGTTTACTTTCATACCAGTTTGAGTTTACTTTCAGACAGACTGCATGCTTTCAGAAGTTGCAAAGGAAAAGGTTACAGAAGATTGCACAACCAGTCTGCAATAGACGTGTCAGTGACATGTGTATGTAATCTCAAGTTATGACATGGCACATAAACTGTCTGAGAAGATAAAAGCTCTTAATCTTTTGCACAAGTGGTTGAGTACTTTCGTTTGGGCATTGACAGGGTCATGCTTATATGTAGTGTGATTTATGTTTCCTGTCGTAAGTGGTTGATATAACCAATCAGATTTCACTCCACACTCTCATGCAAAGAAATCTCTTCTGCTCACCAAAGCTGCATTTATTTGTACAATAATACAGTAAAAACAGTAATATTGTGAAATATTACTACACT